GGCAACCATATTCACAATGTTCGTTTGGCGAGGAATCCAGTGAGTTTCGAGTACTCATTATTCGTCTAAAGTCAAAGGGCCCGATCGTTAAAGAAGGTTATTAGACACCACCAGATGTTATGTAATCTACGCATGCAGGCCAGTCCATCTTAGGATGGGATTCTGAAGTCTAAATACGTCGTTTCCAATTACCAGAGGACTTCAGGAAAAAGTAACGCAGCATGCGCGTCTAGGAAGAGTACGATCATTTTCGTACCCTCAACGATGGCAAACCTCAAGACAACACAAAAATCTAGAAATCAACCAGTGTGATAAACTTGACGTAAGTCTCGAGATATGATTAACGGTCAAAGGAACTAAAATGCACCTAACGATCCCACTAAGATCGCCAACTTGTGCAGTTGTCTACGGAGTAAACTATTTAACTCCAAAGGTATAACTTTCTTCAGTCGCTGTCAAGTCTATAAAATGTAACGTCGGTCCTGACCGCGAAAAAGCAAGCACAGGACGTGATAAAAAATTATAGAACGAAGTGCTTCCATTCTCTTATACTTAAAAATTCAGGTGCTTAATTATTCTATATAAAAGCACTAAATTTAAAGATTTTCGTAAAATGAACTAAAAAAGGTCAAAAATAGTGTTAAAATCTATAGATTCTATTGAATTTTATTTTATATAATTTTGATTTATATATTAAGTTATTTTAATTAATTTTAATTATAATTATTTTAATTTATCTTTTTTAATTTTACAAATTTATGTATCCTAATTTTTATATAATTAATTTATTTTAAAATTTTTATTTAATTATTAGATTTAGTTTTCATTAATTTATCATTTTTCAGTAAGGTCCTTACTATCTGGCTTTGTTGCTTGAAATTGAGTTGAAAATAGAAATACTAGTTAATAACATTAGTAACAGCGTATAACATTCCATAGGAGATTAAACACATAGCAGCATGCGTTATTACCATTCAGTACAAGGGCCGCATGTTAGTTTACTTCAGTTTTATTATGTTAAATTTGTTGGTTGTTAAATTAGTGACTATTAATCCAACTAAAAGCTAACATTTTTGCTAAATTGCACCAATGCTTCCGGACCAGAAGATAACGTTGTTGCCGTCACTCATTCAAGGAGCAGTTTGAGCGAAGCTTTCATATGTGGTTAGTAGCCAGAAGCCCAGTACTCTAAGAACTTAACCAGTCTTACAAATGTTTAACCAAAAGCATAACTGGGACTGTTTGATTGCCTATAAGATAAACAACTGCCACAGGCAACGCTAGTATCCATGCGCAACTTTTTACTTTAGCCAAGTTATTGAACCTGGCATTTTTCTAAGCTTCAAAAACCGTTCATCAAAGATTGATTTCACATTGTTCTAAAATCCAACAACCATCCTCTAAGAACACAGCTAAGAGAGAACCTGCCTCTAGACTTTCGTTTATACTGAGTTTTTGCCAATTTTAAAAGCAGACCTTTCGACCCGTGGTTTATTAAGTCATTGAGTAGACCCCACTTAGAACTTTCCGGAGTGCACGTCCACCCTGAGTTACTTTATTGCCAATGGAAGGCGCCATAACCGCAACGTTATTACAGTTTGTTAATCATTCCTTTGTTTCATTTAGCTTTCATTAGCCGAGAATACATTGGAAGCTGTTTCGCCTGAGACGGCAACATAACCAAAGGTAAAGTAACCGACATTGAACATGGAGTCCTTCTCCGGATGGCAACCTTTGGTCCACCATCGATATTTTTACCTTCCAGTAGCCGCGAGGACTAACTAAGTACGGAGCGCGTCTATACTAGATTAAACTTTTAATTATTTTATTATTATAGTCTACAATGCTAGACGAAAGCCGAAAGTTTAAGCTAACGGTTGATTTCAATGCTACCACCTAAAGCGCAACCTATCGCAGTAGCCTGCTTAGGTAAGGAAGAAACCCAAACAGGTCTTAGTCGCTGCGGTCACAGCCCATCAAAAGAGACCCGCACGCAGACAAACGTCATTGGTAAGTTTGTAGCATCTGAAAGGTGGACACACAGCGCCTGGCGCAGGCAAGAGCCTCGAGCAAAGGACCCAAGTTTCCATTCTCTGAGTTCTACTTAGGTAGAACAAAATAACTAACTAATAGTCTAGGCATGTTAGCTAATTAAATGTTCTACCAGAGTAGAACGGAAAAAAAGTAAGAATTAAGATAAACTTCTTGTTCTCGCTGTTAGACCCTTTGGGGGGCTAGAAGTCGTCCCAGAGGCAAAATGCCTGCCTTTCCTGGGATTCGAGCGTAATAGGAAGAAGTTAATCATAATTCTCGAAGTTAAATAGACTTCTCTGACCGTAGAGCAGTACGACTCTTTAATCGGGACCTCACAGGTTGCCTCAAAAAGTAAGGCTATAAAGTCAGCAAACTTGAGAACGAACAATTTAATTCTACAAAGAGGGTTATGCCGTTATCACTTGTAACTATCGCATATATTTTAATATTAGTAAAAAAAAAATTTATTTCAGGACACATACAAAAATATATTAAGTACTGAGGGCTAATATTTCACTAAGACTCTTATATCTTCAATGGATTATAAATTTTCTACTGACTATTGTTAAGCAGATGTACCATTATTCTCGGAAATCCGGGTAAATTAGTAATCTTTGTACTATTATTTCGGTAAGTAAAATTTAAGGCCTTTATCGTAAAATGTACATCGTAGGCTTTACCTTTTCACCTCTCTCTCTTATCTTGTTAGGGGCTCTGCAACTCAGATTTGCAAAGTAACAACTAAATTTAGTTACTTCACCTTAAAGAGTAAGATAAGTGTACTTGCGTAACGCAGAAAGAAAGAGCAGCTTTGGGTTAAGATTTAATATATAAAAACCTAATAATATAATATGTTGAACACATACCTACTTGTAAAGCGATATATACCGCGCCTGAAGATGCTATTGGGAATATAGCTGGAAAAAAGCTCAATCAGAGAATTTTTTTATGCTATTAAAAAAAAGAGTTAAGTTGTATTCATATAATGAACCTTTGAAGTACTAAACATATATCTACGTGTAAAGGGAATTATATCGCGCTTGAAAATGCTATTGCGAAATAAAGCTAAAAAAAAAAAGTTTTCTCGAAAATCTTAACTTAATATCAAAAAAAAAAGCTCAATAGAATTCATATAATGAACTGTTAAATTTAATTGTAAATTGAGATACATTAAGCACAACGTATTATAATCCTGGGGGACTCTACTTTATTTGGCAAATACGAGGATTTTACGCCAGAACGTAAAAAAACATCCTCCCTTTCCAAAAAGTATATTTAAATTTCTTTAGAAAATATTTACTTATAAGATCTAGACTAAAACACTGCTTATGCTATATCTACACCTAAGCCCTTTTACTTACCCTTATTTTTTTTTATTGAGTTTTTTATTTTTGTTAAAATTTTGTACACAACTTAATGTATATTTTTTTCCTGTAAGTTTCGCCAAGCTATTAGCTATGAGGTATATACAGGATTACTATAACCTAACTCCTGTTTACAAAATTTAGTGCTAGTAATAAGTTGGTAAGCCCAACTTATGGCCACCAAGCTCTATTTTAACCTTCGAGTAATTATTTAAAATGTGAAAAAAACTATCATTAAAATAAATTGTGTAGTTAACTAGACACCGCACACGATTTCTACAATCGAGTTTGCTGACATAATCGGCTTTTAATAAAATTAACTAAAGACCGACGAAATTTATGCACAGCTTACAGCTGGCTTCCTATATTTAGTAGAAGTCGGTTCCCCCAAGTGGTACCCATATATCCGCCTTCAGAATAGTTATTACTATAACCACAACTATCACTTTTTCTATAGTTGCTATTATTCCTGTAAATCTACTCTTTATACCTTTGTCTACGCTCAACCATATTGCTTTCTACACCCTTCTCCAGAAATTGCATGTTTCTCTCAATTATAACTGTCTAGGTTAGGATCGTTCCAAGGGCCATAACGTTATTTTTTATAACAGACTAAATTTCTGGACAGATAGGGCGATCAGGGTTGACTGCAGAGGCAACCTGCATATTCTCGCTCAATAGTTACAAATAATTTGATTTTTCAACTTAGTAAACTAAGATTTCAAAAAGAAAATATTTTATACAAAACTATAAGAGCAGAAAGCATATTACCTAGTTAGTAATAGATTTAAAAAACTTAAATTTGTGGCTGAGTGTACCTTGCATATCGAAAGTTTTTAAGTGAGCATTATCCGTTTTACCAAGTATTACAGTTTATAATGGCCAAAAAGTGTTAAATAACGTCTCTTTAAAATTTTTTAAAACAGAGTTTATATATTGAACCACTCACACTTTACAAATGTGCTAAACTCTAGAAAATTTCTCCTTCTGGGTTTTAAAAGTCTGAGCTTTTCTGGTGGATCAAAAGGTAGTCGTTTTTTTTTAGAATTTAGAATTTTCAACTTCCAAGTTTTTAAAAATAAAAAAAATCGAGTGCTTATCATAAAAAAGTTATATAAAGTTGTTATAAGAAAATAATACTTTTTTTGATACAACCAAAAAAAATTTCTCGAAATAATAACTATGCTACAAATTTATTAAAAAGTTTGTGTATAACTTAAACAAGGTAAAATTTAAAATAAAGTTAAAGTTGAGCTATTGATAACGCTATCTGTAGCAAATTATATGAAAACGATAGGGCACCAATTGCAGAAAGCTTGTTACTACACAAAAAAGCTCGTCCTTGTAATATTTATATAAATAATAATATTAGCTAATTGCCATAGATTTAAGAAACCCGCTGGAAAATGCTGTGGCTTAGAAACAAAATTAACATGCTTAGCTGGGTTTTTAAAGAGCATGCTGCCTATTAACTGCTACAATTTTAATTTTGATGGTGTCTAGTAATTTATTTTGAAGAGTAATTCGCTACAATTTTTTTTCAATTTTTTTTTGATGTGTATAAAACTGATTTTAAGCGGGAGCACGCCAACGTTATTGTTAGTTATTACTTTAGCCCGTGGTTCTCCCGTTGGTCTTTCAACTTTCCCTTTTAATTTTTGCTCTATTTTTTGTTTGTCTCTATGAATTTACTTTTTTTTTTAATTACATTTTTCTGTATAGAAAGATGAATCGTTTTATTGAATGGTTAGTTTCGGAAACTGAACCACACCAACAAGATGAATTTAGATTGCGATTTAGACGGTTTAAGGTTTTAGGGTTGTTTCTTCAGAAAAGGTTTTCTGTAAATTATCTACTTTATAGCAAAAAGTAAATAGTACGGAAGCTGAAGAATTATTTGTTCGGGATGCTTGTGAAATTCTTGACCAGTGCAGGGATCTTATAAGCCCTCTCTTTGAATCATGGGTTTACTAAATATCATGAAGCTAAGACACCCACTAAGACAATTTACTGTAGATTGGCACTACGTCATTTGAGGAATTCGACCTTGCTTTGGACAACTATCGACGTATGCACAGTGGAGGCTACGGGCACAGCCACAACTCACTGCATGAGGTTTTTTTTTTTTTCATTTTTTCATTTTTTTCTTATTACACTAAGAATTTAGGACGCTGATTTGGATTCTCGAATATTGAGTGATGGCAAAGGAAGGCCTCTAGTGACTACTTCGAAGACGTTTAACCTGTTTATTGGTGATATGGTTAGTCTTTCCCTTAATGTTTTTTCACGGTCTACTGCGATTATATGTTATAAAGCCTTTAGAAACTACAGAAAATGATCTAAGAGCCGTGTCGCTCACTGTGGAAATATAGTAAAAGTGCGTTTGCTTCAGAAAGGTAATCCCTTTGTAATTTAATTTTATCTAGCTGTAACACTAAACTTTTAACTCTGTAGGCCCAAAGCAGTTGTCTTTTGGTTTTGTGCATTTCTCCGATAGTACTTCTCTTCATCGTGCTTTAACAGAGCAGCCCGTCGTTACTTTACACGTTATTAACGATTTTCTATGAGATATATTTTAAAAATTAAGTGTGACGTTGCCTTGAGTAGGGGAAGAAGTGTCGTTGTGGGCCTAGTCAAGAGCGCGTTACCTTGTACTTGTCCAATATCCCCCAGCAGGCTACTCAGCGCGACGTTCTATTGTGGCTCGAGAAACATCTCGGAAAGGCATTATCCTTTTGGCGTAGGCTAAACCCTTCCTTCAGTCACGCTTGTTTTTGTGGGGACGGCGGGGGCTCAGGGGTCAGTGGTCTCAGTTGACATCAAGTGCGGTCCCCCCCCCGAGTTCCTTTCGAGGCAATTCGGTTTCGTGCAGTTTATTGATCAGACCACATGCGAGACTGCCCGGAGGCGATTCACTTCGGAGAGCATACGCCTTTTTGATCAGCTGATAGTATTACACGTGGCGCAATTTTGCGTTCTCTAACGGCTAATCCCACCGTCTACAGAATGTTGCTCCTGCCGACAATATGACCCCCGACGAGGACACACTTCTGAACGTGAAGACCATGTTCCTGACAAATGTGGCTTCAGATGTGTCCGAGTCAACCATACGGGATGCCTGCGAGAAATACGGTAGCCTTCACAAAATCAACTATGCCCGACGCGACAAGGGGTTCGTTTATGTCGAGTATAACAATCGCAATGACTGCTTGAGGGTTAGTCGCGGCAGTTCTTTCAATATGGCTCCGTCTTAGAGTCCCTTGTTTTTCCTCTCAGGCCATTGACAATCTGCACAACACCAAGTTGGGGTCGCAGTACATTACCACGGCTCTGGCTAAGCCCAAAGTCAAGACCCCGCTTGGGTTAACGCCCTCTGACTCCCGCTTGGCTGGCACTCTTCCATATGGCGCGAGGGTCAGAGGCTACGGTCGAGGCGCCGAGCTGATGGGCACTACTCTACTGCCCTTTGGAGCGGCCATGGGCAGTTACGGTCGTAGTGTTGGCGGGGCTGTCGGGGCGTCCGTCATCGCCGACAGAGGGTACGCTCGAAGGTTAGACTCTCGCCCCCAGCCGTATGATATTCGTAGTAGGTGTGTTTTGTATCAGTCTATTCCAGTCTTTCCAGTTTATTTCCTGTTCTTGCGTTACTCAAATTTTAGCCGTTATAGCACTCGCACTGACAGATCTGATAGAACTACAGATAGGGAAAAGCGCTCTTATACTAGCAGCACCCGTTCCCGCGATGCCCTGACAGTAGACCTTCTTTTCTTTTCTTCTCTTTTTACTATTACTTACGCCTGATTGCACAGCCGTCGAGTTATAGGGAGTGGGACGGTGTCTACGACTACACTCGCTATGAGCCCTCTTATGTGCACGCCGCGGCAGCTGTATCCGGCGCTTACGATTCGAACGCGTATGCGCACCTTCAAGCCTATTACAGTAATCCGAGTTACAAGACGCATTGAGGCCTGCCGTCTCCCCTCTTCTGATTGGTAATTACGTTGTATCTGTCTACCAGTGGCTAGTATTGAAAAAGTTCGCTAACGGTAATGTTAATACTAGTAAAAGTAACTGCAATGCGAAGGCTCAAGCTGTTTGCCTCCGATAATAATTATTTTCTCTAGCGTAGCATAAATACAACTTAAATAAATAATATTAACTTTAAAAACTTCTGTTAAATCACTTAAACAAGGCTAATCAGACAGTGGACGTGAATAATAATTGTTGAAACTGATAATATAGACAAAACCGAAGCCATTAATATAATACTTATTCTTATATATGTAACTGTTAACTTATAATCTCTAAGTTCATTCAATAAAGCATGGATTTGAAGGTTACTCTATTAAACATCTAAAAAAAAGTTATACATGACTTCCTGTAACACAATCGTCGTAGCTGCGAGCGTAGCCTTCCTTAATTTATTGCATGGCCTGATAGCCTACTCTTTTTTTTTCAATTATTCCACAGTGGCATGGCCGACTCCCGCTCCCGTTTAGTGTAAAGGGACTTTTTGAAGCCGTCAGTAAGCAACCTGCGTTGGTTTGGCTTTTTAATTTTGGTACTACGTAATCGCTATTTATTTCTCGACGGCCCCGTTTTGGGGTTCCTGTTTGTAGCCATTTTAACTTATTTGGCGTTAATACTTATGGCGTCGACCTGCGTGTTTCTACTGTCACGCAGATCCAGTTGTTTATATTTGTATTGTTTTGAATATGATATAAATTTTTTATTAAGTTAGGTTTAGCATAGTCTTCCCATGAGCGCGACATTTTGCTTTTTTCCCGTCTTGTATGCTTAAGAATGAGTATATTATGACTTAATAAAACTTGGCGTACTTTTTATACGAATATTCTTGCGATATTAACGTTTTTATGTGAGGACTTACTATTCGCTATAATTTTACGAACCGCATACTCTATAGCGGGCAAAGTAACTCTGGAGCCCCTTTTTTTAAAAGTAGATATTTATTATCAGGTAACTACCAAATTCTGCTCACCATGAAATACTTGCGGTTTCTCTAACATCCACGAGTTTTTTGTCTCTGCAGGATCACAAGGATGAAGTGTTACATTTTGCTTTTGGTTATAGAGAATTATTGTTCAGAATTGGAGGAATTTTTTTTACACATGATAGTCAGTTCGACATCAATAATTTGCAGTGCTTTACTTATTGGAGTAACTTCTAACAATTTCAGCTTTTATCCAGCGTAGCTCTATAATTTTTAAGCTTTCCTCTACTTAGTAGGGTTGTGCCATATTGTAGTAGAGCCTATATAAATATTAGTTTGAGCAGGTTTCTTGCCTTAGCCTACTGACCCTCGAAATTTTACTTTTATATAAACAATAAATTACGATTATTTTAAGGAAGTAAACTTGCAATAATGTCTGTATTTTATTGTAACAATACCGAAGAAATTTTTTTAATGTACGTTCTTTTTTCCTGTTATGCTGTTATTTCTAGCTGATGTAAGGTATCTATGTTGTTCCGCCAGTTTGCTTTTATTTTGGTAAAATTTTTTCGAGGGGGTTTTTTTCTAAAAAATATGACACATGTATCAAAATAGCTGCCATGAATAATTAGCAATTTAAAAAAGGTTTCAATTTTCGGATGCATTGCTCTTATGTCTACTAACTACGACACCACATAAACGTCTAAGGCTTTTTATTTTCTCGTATAGGGACCTGTGGAGTTCAAATGGGTTTACTTCTTGAGCACTTTATTATTATATAAACTTAAACTTGTAGTTTTCACAATATTTTATGCTAAGAATCTACTTTTAAATACAAGCTATTTTTTTTTTGACATTTAGTTTTGCCTCGTCTTTTAAATTTATTTTCTTGCTGCTTTCACGATATTGCTTTACTCTGCCCTAGTCAACAACTTTTATAGGATTATCAGTATAAAAACGACTTAACTGAATATATACTTGTCAAACTTTTTTCTTGCAAGCATTTTCACTAGTTTGTTTTATTGGTTATAAAAAACAGTTTTAATACCGTTTTTTTTTGAATAGTCGTTTACATTAAGAGCACAGTTGATATAGATAATAATTAAGAAATTATTCTTCATATATGTTTTTTATTTTGTTTTACTGTATTGTACAATTTTTTTTCAGTCATAAATAAGAGTGTTTACTATTTTTATCAGTTTGTATAAGGATTTGGGTGATGTCATAATTTAAGTCATCGGAGTGTTGATTGGGTATTGTGCACTGACTGCGCACGTGACATTCTCAATTCTGTATCGCTATTCCTCTTCTCATTTCTAGATTATATATAGCAGTTCCGGTTTGTGATATGCTCTTATTAATTCACGTGCGTACTGGCCATACTTTGGTTATTTATATATGCGTTTCATCTTGCTTATAGCCTTTACTTCTAAGTTGCGCCTATCTTGCACTCTTTTTAATGAACAAAGTTAAAACTACCAAGCTGCTTCTTTGTTTCTGCCTTTGACAAGCTTGTTTAGCTTTTCCGCTTTTTATGGGTCGTATCCTTATTTTTATGTATTTTTATTCGTCGCGCGTTTTTAGTACGTCATTTTCTAGGCTCGTCGCGTGT